CTCGATTCCCCCGTTATTTATATCTTATACCAGTAGCACATTTGGTACAATTAATGAGCTGATATCGATAACACTTTTATTAATGAAGTCCATAATCGGTTCCCTTACTTTTTACCTAATGCCCATTTTCTGCTCCAGGATCCCATCTAGCATAGCACACCTCACTTAGGTATCACACCTCCTTAGTCTCCTCTTGGCTGTGACCATTTTTGATGACCTTGACAGTTTTGAGAAGTACTGGTCAGATATTTTATAGACTGTCCCTCTCTTGGGATGGGTCTGATGGCTTTATCATGCTGGAGCCCTGGGTTTGGGGGAAGAAGATCACATGGATGTAAAGTGTCGTTCTCATCACCATCGTCAAGGTACATTGTGGGGTGCAGGCAGTCAACCGGACTCTGTCATCCCTGCTGATGTTCGGTCAGTGTCTCCACCATAAATTTCCTCTTGGACCGAAGTCCCTATGCACAGTCTGCACCTACGGGTGGGGAGTTATGCTCCCCCTGCTTGACGGCAGAATATCTAAGTAAATTATTTGTTATTCTCTATGGGAGATTCGTCCCTTTTCCCCACATTTACATGTTTATTTATATTAACACAGACTCATGGATTTCTATTTCTTACACTTTGGGTTATAATTCAGTACTAGCTGTTGCTCAAATTGTTAAGCTTTGGCTATGGGGAGCTCTTTCAGTTGACCCCTCTGTCCCTTCTGACACCCCGTCCCCCGCCCCATTATTGTGAGCTTTTGAGAACTTCAGCACTTCTTACTTTCTGGCTCGACAAGCTGCTCCAGGCTCATTTTGTGTATTTCCTGCCCCAGCCCTACGGCAGTCACTTCTCCAAGGATCTGCATCTCCTTTTACTGGAGAATGGTGTTAGAAACCAAGATCTGGACACTAGGTGTGCTCATTGCTAGTGTGCACCTTTGTTTCTAGGCTGGGAAGGATGTATCCTGTTTACTAACCTGTGTCTGTACACCTCTGTAAACGTTTCTGGGTGTCCTCATCTGTTTTTAGCATCTGATATTAAGGTAAACATGAATTCCTGTTGATGTCTCCACCTCCAATCCACTACGCCATGGTTCATTCTAGCTTCCTCCTCATCCCACATATTTTATTTTTTGCATTTTTTATTGAGGTATTATATAATTCATGTACCATAAAATTTCCCCTTTTAAAGTACAAATTCAGGGGCGCCTGGGTGGCACAGTCGGTTAAGCGTCCGACTTCAGCCAGGTCACGATCTCGCGGTGCGTGAGTTCGAGCCCCGCGTCAGGCTCTGGGCTTCAGTACAGAGCCTGACATGGGGCTTGCAACTCATGAACTGTGAGATCATGACCTGAGTCAGAGTCAGACACTTAACCGACTGAGACACCCAGGCACTCCTAAATTCATTGGTTTTAATAGTGCAGCCATCACCACTGTCTGATTCCAGACCATTTTTAGACAGTTTTTACCATTCCACAAAGAAATGCTGTGCTTGTTAGTGGTCACTCTCCCTTCCTCTTTCCCTCTTCCCCCAGCCCCTGACATACAAGAATCTTCTTTCACTTCATTCCTTTTTACAGCTGAATAATCTTCCATTGTATGGATGTGCCACATTTTGTTTATCCACTCATCGATTAATTGGACATGTAGGCTCCTTTTTAGGCTACTGTGAGTAATGTTGTGAACATTCACACACAAGTTTGTACATGGCTGTGTGTTTTCATTTCTCTTGAATACATACCTAAGAGTGGAATTGCTGGTCCACATGATAGCTCTATGTTTAACATTATAAGGAGCTGCCAAAGTGTTTTCTAGAATGGCTGTACCATTTTACATTTCCACTAGCACTATATGAGGGATCTAATGTCTCCAAATCCCTGTGAACACTTGTTATTTTCCATGTTTGTTTATAGCCATCCTAGTAGATGTGAAGGGGTATCTCATTATGGTTTTTTTTTTTTTTTAGTTTATTTATTTTTGAGACAGAAGGAACACATGTGAGTGGAGGAGGGGCAGAGAGAGGGGCTGACAGAGAACCCCAAGCAGGCTCTGCACTGTCCATGCAGAGCTCGATGCAGGACTCAATCTCACAAACTGTGAGATCATGACCTGAGCTAAAGTCAGACCCTTAACCAACTGAGCCACCCAGGCGCGCCTCATTATGGTTTTGATTTGCATTTCTCTAATGATCAGTGACATTGAACATCTTTTCATAGTTTTCATATTCTTCTCTTCATATTTTCTGGATATTAGATCTTTATCAGATATATGATTGGCAAATATTTTCTCTCATTCCATGGGTTATCTTTTTTTTTTTTTTAATTTTTTTTCAACATTTATTTATTTTTGGGACAGAGAGAGACAGAGCATGAACGGGGGAGGGGCAGAGAGAGAGGGAGACACAGAATCCGAAACACGCTCCAGGCTCTGAGCTGTCAGCCCAGAGCCCGACGCGGGGCTTGAACTCACGGACCGCGAGATCGTGACCTGGCTGAAGTCGGACGCTTAACCGACTGTGCCACCCAGGCGCCCCATGGGTTATCTTTTCATGTTGTTGATAATGTTCTTTGAAGCACAAAACCTTAAAGTTTTGATAGGTACACTTTGTCTATTTTTAGTTTGGTTGCTTGTGCCCATTTTTAAGAAGCATGTTAATTACGCATTTTTCCTAGCAAATACAAAGTTACTTATTATTTTCGCATTCCTTCCAAACATGACAATAACTTTCATGCACTTTAATTGTCCATTGAACTTCCCATCCTGACATTCTTGAGTTTTAGTTTCAGTTTCACATTAAAAAATAGTTTTTTCAAGGGAAATCAGTAGTTAATTAAATTTACCAAAATCTATTTATTAGTGTTTGCTCATCACTATTTTTTAATTTCATCCCTTCCTTGCCGAAACAGATCTCCTAATAATTCTTTCAGTGAAGGTTTGGAAGTGGTAAACTCTTCATATGTCTCAGCATGTATTTATTTTGCCCTTCAATCTGAATGATGGTTTAGCTGGATATAAAATTTGAGGTTCATAGTTGCTTGCCCTCAGCATTGGAAGGTATCACTCTTTGATTCTGTTATTGCTAAGGGTGTCTGCTGTCTGTCATTCCTTTGTAAGTTACTCTTACTATCATTTCTTCCTTTCTCCTGTTCCAGCTCCTCTTAAGCATCCATTGATACCTTTTAATCCATTCTGTGGGTTCTTTGAACTGCGTGTTCTTATTGCTTGTGTCTGGGTCTCTGTGTTGTCTTTGGTTCACTGCCTGCATTCTGCCTTTTAATTCACTGATTTCCTCTCTAAACAGTGTCCCGTCCAGAATTTATCCCATTTATTGAGAGTTGTCTTTGTTTTATATTTTAATGGCTTGTCTTTTATCTCTGAGCTTTTGTTACCAATTATTCTCATTTCTTTCATGCCTGTTTTCTTTCCTAACATGTTGTTTTTCATAGATATTAGTCCTTTATTGAGGACCTTTTGATGCCTTAAACATACTCATTTTAAGTATTTGTCAGGCAGTTTTAGGTCATTCATTTCATCTGGAGTGAATTCATATTCCTGATTGAGGAGTCTGTAGACTGTCTTACTTAGCATGAGATTTCTTCACAGGTGGTGGGATTTTCTTCCAGATTCAATTTGAGTAAGACGTAATTTTTTTTTTCTTTGGCTTTTCTTTCACTTTGTCTCTTGAATAGCTTCCTCCTGCCTGGTGGTTTGGGCTTCTCCACTCCAGCCCCATTTGGAACCAGGTCTTACAGTAGAGCTGGAAGGCCCTTGCCCACGGTAACACTGAGAAAACATGTCTCATTTCCTAGACTTGAGCCTATGTCTGTCCTTCCTTCCTAGACCCGTAGATCGCTACAAGCCCCAGCCCAGTGGTGTGCTCGAGACAGCTCCTCCTATCCAGCTCACGAAAACCAGTGATTAAATTTTAAGGAATTCTGTGAGCTCATTTTCAAACAACAATTACTAAAAATTAAATTCTCCGAACTCACCAGTGAATAAATTCTATTGAAAAGCAAAAGTAGTAAATACTCAAAACTGACTCTTTTCTAATTACCTTGCTACCTGTTGCTATTACAATGCTGCCTGGTTGCTCACGGCTTTTGTATCTGTGTGGCAAGAGGTGCCATAGAGTGATGTGCTCACCGCATGTTTTCCCATGTCTGGGTCATTGACATCATGCGGGTGATTTGATAGCAGCCATGATGAGAGCATTCACCCACCGAAATGAGTGAGCATTACAGATCGGTTCTCTTATTTTCTGGAGTACTTGTTAAAGACACCTGCACACCACTGCCCGGGCCCCAGACAGCGATGGTTTTCTGCATCCTCCTTCCATAGACAGAGGTTCCCCAGGCCACCCCTCCTCCAAACAGGGGCCAGGCTTTATTTGCTCATCTCACAGAAACTGCTTTCAGTCTCTGTTACCCTACAGGAGCTTCATTCCCAGCAATACTGCAACCCCGCTCATTACTCTGCATTTCTGTCTTGTTTCTCATCCACAGAGCTCTTGATTTCGGTGCTGAGGCGACGTCTGTCCTTTGGTCTTTCTTTTTTTCTGTCTTACCCACCATGGCTCTTGAGTGTGGGGAGGAGAAGGTACATTAAATGCTGAGCATGCTCTACTCTCTTGATTAGAACTCCATAAACATGATTTTTTGTAGACATTTAACTTGTCTCCTGTGGCTGTCGATAACAGGCCTCAGAATATTTCCTTCCGCTTCCTGTATCTCTCCCGAAGTCATTCACTTTATCTTCCTCCTCTCCCTTTGTTCCCTGGCACTTTCTTGTGCCGATTATAACAAACGTGTTAATATGTTACATCGATGAATTATTCTCTGAAAGGATTGTGGATGTCACAAGGCTGCCTTCTCATTTCTTAGGCACTGAGTCAATATTACACATTTAATTTAATAACATACCATGTTGTGCCTAGAAGAAAACAGGGGAGTCCCCCAAGTTCCCTACATGGAAATCCTTGGCCCCCTAATGTCTTGTTCCCTCCCCCCGCAGGTGTCACAGCTGTGTTCTCAGGCCACTACCACAGGAATGCCGGGGGCACCTACCAGAACCTGGACATGGTGGTATCATCTGCCATCGGATGCCAGCTGGGCCAGGACACCCACGGGCTCCGAGTCGTCGTGGTCACTGCCGAGAAAATCGTTCACCGCTACTACAGCTTGGATGAGCTGAGTGAGAAGGGGATAGAAGACGACCTCATGGGCCTGATGAAGGAAAAGTGATGGTGGCTGGCGATCTCGTGTTTCACTTCCCCTGGTTTTTTACTTTACCAGAAGCAGCAGGTACGCACCATCCCTTGTTGAAACGTAAAAGTTCTCCAAGCCGATGTGTGGATTTTTGTCCTTTTGCATAAATCAGAGAGCTGGGTCCTCTCCTCCTATCCTAAATTGTATTCAAAGTAGAGCTTCCCTCCCTTTAAAAAAGAGAGGAGTTGGGGGAACTGGAAAATAAAAGAATAAATGATTCTAGCGTCTCTCTGCTTGGATGCTTGAATAAATTCTCCGAGTGCTGTGTCCCTCAACTCTGCTTGTGAATTAGTGCTTGTGAATTAGCATGTGATAAATGTCTACCTGTCGACCTGCATCCCACCTTGATAGCCAAGTGTGGTCTTTGAAAATTCTGTGATCAGACCGCATCTGATCGTACTAAATTGTGGTCACGACTCCCAAAGTGCTAGGGAAAACACGGGTCATCTCCTTTCCTTCCTAACAAAGCACATGACTGTAACCCATTAGAGCTACGCAGGCTTGCTTTTACAAGGAGCTGGGTAGACCACATCTGCTACTAAATTTTGAGACTCCCGGCATTGTTGACAACGTGGTCGGTACAAGTCAAAGTTGAACTTGCCTTCTGGGTGACAAGAAAATCCTGCTTGGCACATGAACGGGCCATCTGTAGAAACCTCATCACAGAGACTAGAACTGAAGCCCCACACCCTGGCTTCGTTCACATTCACGTCTGACAGCGTGGCGACCCTGCAGATTGGCATCCTTGTGGAATGGGAGTGGCCCTCCGCTTATGAGACTCTTCGCTGTGTCCGCTTGGACAGAACAAGTGGGAGTTGCTGTGGAGTTCTTCAAGGGAGCAAAGCAGAGACTCTGGTGGGGCAGGAATGGAGCTTTTGGCCACGTCATCTAAATCAGCCCTGGCTTTGAGGAAATGCACTGTATCCCTTGACGAAGGAGCACGGGCAGTTTGAAATCAGTGTCATTTTTACGTGATCTCCTTTGCTGCTGCTTTGCCACCGCCACTGACCATGGCGCGATCTCGTCCGTCGCCCTGGCGGACGGGGAGCCTGGGCTGTCTGTCCTGCCGGGAATATTTCACAACGCCGTGCAGTAGTGTGCTGGCATACGCATACAGATGGGCTGCAAAGTCCATTAAACCACAAGACTTTTGTGTTACAGAGTTTTAGTCAATGTGGCAAAACCGTGAGACATTAAATAGGAAGATAATTGGATATGTAAATTCATAAGGAAAAAAGATGAGAAGTTAATTACACTACAGATCCGTGATGCACCATAGCTCTTCGCTGTGTGGCACAAGAAAATTAGAATTTTTCAAAATTAGAATGCCCTTATTTTAGGGCTTTGCTGCAGTCTTGATTTGTGTTCCATTTTTCTTTACAACAGGTGTGGATTGAGGAGGTCAGGAACAGCAGTTCAGTAAAAGGTGTAACTTTTTGTTTCATTTTATTTGGGGGAGGATATGGATTAAATTAAACGCAATGGAAATGAAACATCTGAGTCTCCTTCCCCAGAAACCTAATATGTAAAAAAACTGATTCAAGATACCGCAAAGATATGCTGAGAATAGGGAATCCTATGAAATTCTAACCGTTTTTTAAGTAACCACCAATATTCCCTAATGGTAGTTGGTTCAGAAGAAGTTAGGAAATGATTTTGTAGATGAGTGTGTATCATTCTGATAATAGATAATTACCAATGTACTCACTTATGATTGCTTTTTCTTTAAAAGAAACAAACACATTACAAAATAAGTGCCTTATACTCTGGAAAACAATAAAATACTCCATGATCCTAAGTGCTATGATTTTGAATGTTTATTATGTGCTAAGTACATTTTCAGTGCTTTAACTGAGAGAGGTGGGGCTCACTTGGCCACAGTCATACAGCTCACCCGTGGGGAAGGAAGGGTTGAGATGCAGGCAGTCTGACGGCCTAGCCTGTGCTCCTCATTAACACTATCATCTCTCTTAGAAAACATTTCTCACAGTGAGAGGTTTGCAGCAGCTCAGCCTGTGGCAACACGACAACATTTAGCACCTCTGACCACCTTTGCTGGACAATGACCCGGTGTTAGCAGGAAGCCATGGGGCTTGATCCCAGGGTTTGTAAAGCCCGGACACCCCTTCTCTGACCGTACCAGATCCAGGGTGGCAAAGCCTGTCCAGGTTGTCCCAGGCAGAGAATTTTCCCCGAGGATACTGGAAAACTCCTGTCTGGGAGGCCACAGGACACAGCTCTGCCCACAACAGTAAAGTACTCCGTGGGATGACGCTCACTGCTTGCTCGTGGTTCCTGCCCCCAGGAGTAGGAAAGCCATGGCTCTCCCAAGGCAAGCAATGCCACCCAACGCTCCCCTTCCAATGCGTCGTTTTCTTTGGCGGTAGAAATAAGGGCTGCTAAAAGGAGAAGGTTATTTAAGGAGACCTAAAATGGGGTTCTCAAGACTCCAGCAGGCTTGCGGATGGGTTGGGGAGATACCTAACTGTGTTCACCTTTTTACAATAAGTAAGTGGATGTCTAGAACTCTGTCCTGTTTGCCCTCAGGTTGGAGAACAGGGGGGAAAGGTCTATAGTAAACCTTATGGAAGCGAGCAAACAGAACGTTTCATACCGTCTTGTGATTTTCAGCATTACCTGGTTGTCAGGCCCTGATAGAGAGTTACAGGGCAAACCCTAGTTTTAAGCCTGAATAATAACGCTAGGACCATTTCCCTTATGTAGTACAAAAGACACCAAGTTACATATAACTGTGGAAACTGTATTACACATAATACAGTTTAATAATAATACACATAATAATAATTACACATAATACAGTTTAATAATCGAAATCTGTTGAGGAAAGGTAGCAAAAACATCATTTGCATTTACTTGAACTCTTAATACTTATTCCCCAAGTAGTGCCTAAAACAGCTTTGCGCAGTCGTGAAATTAAGTAGCGACATTGTATTGAGCTGGGGGGAAAAGGAAGATTTTGGAATAAATCATCAAGGCAAGTTCTATTAAAAGCTTGCACATAACCTTAGTAGTTTGGGTTACACATGCAAGAGATAGTACTTGACAGGTAATATTGATTTTTTTTTATAACTTCATAAAATACTGTCTTCTGTCATTGGAGAGCTCTTAGGGATATATATATGATTCTTTTCTTGGAATAATAATGACTTCTAACATCTTTCTAGGAAAGGTTTTACTGACTAAATTCTCTTTTTCCTTCCATGGATTTTTATTTCCATTATTTCTTTACCATTAGTGACCACGTACACATATACACATATATACAGTTTGGGTGATTCCTTTAAAATTTTTTTTAAATGTTTATTTATTTTTGAGAGAGAGACAGAGACAGAGACAGAGCACAAGTGGGGGAGGGGCAGAGACAGAGGGAGACACAGAATCCAAATGAAGCAGGCTCCAGGCTATGAGCTGTCAGCACAGAGCCTGACACAGGGCTCGAACTCATGAACCCTGAGATCATGACCTGAGCCAAAGTCAGATGCTTAATCGACTGAGCCACCCAGGTGCCCTGAGGATATTTCCTTTAGATAAATCCTAAAGGACCCATGTAGATTAAAAAACAAAAACAAAGCCTATGTAAATAAAGTGGATTGAACACGAACAATCACAAGTTACCTTTCATTATTGTGTTCTGATACTTCTCTTTAAAAAGTAATTTTTTGGGCTCCTGAGTGGCTCAGTGGATTAAGCATCCATCTTAGGCTCAGGTCATGATCTCACAGTTCCTGATTTTGAACGCTGTGTCGGGCTCTGTGCTGACGGTGCGGGGCCTGCTTGGGATTTTCTCTCTCCCTCTCTCTCTGCCCCCCTCCTGCTCACGCTCTCTGTCTCTCTCTTAACATAAATAAATAAACTTAAAAAAGAAATAAATGTGTGTAGCTTAGTAAAATGTATCTCAATAAAATTGTTTTAAAATAATTTAAAAAGAAGAGAGATTTATCCAGGTTAGGGGAAGGCAGTGTTTTCAGAAGGAGCGTCATTTGCAGCCAAGGAGGCATTTTGTCATGTGAGGTACCTGTTTCCAGAGCTCCTGTGCCTCTGAAGACAGACCCAGGTTTGAACCCAGGCTCTCAGATTGTGAACCATGCTCACATGGTTTCTCTCGCAAGACTCGCTAACCTCCCTATACCTCAGTATCCGCACACTCCATCGGTTGGGACGCTTCCAGCCGATGGTAACAATATCAGATCAGAAAGGGCTTGATAAGTAAGGGGGTTGTTTTTCTCCCACAACATCAGTCCTGAGTCCGATGGTGGCTCTGGGATGTCTGAGCAGCGAAGCGTGTCAGCTCTGTGTCGATGGCTCCGTGATTCCTACTGACAACATGGCCGCCCAACTCCAAGCATCATTAATTCCAAGACAGAAAGGGCTGGTGGGGTGGGTCTCTACCTCCAGAGTCACTTTTTCTCTCCAAGAGGAAGTTTTCACCCAGAGGCCCTCAACGGATTCTGCATCGTAAGTCCCATTGTCCAGAAACAGAAATGCCACGAATACAACCCAACAGCCATCACAGTCACAGAAAAGAGACCCTAGGATAAGGGATGAGGCCCGCCGGTAATTGTGAAAGAGCACCTGGCTGTGCCCATGAAAGCCACACTGCGTACAAACTGCTCAAGTGGTGAGTAGTGAGAAAGAAAAAGTGTCAGCAGAGACCAGCCTTTCCCAGGAACACAGGAGGGGAGGAGACTGAGAGTAAGTGGAGAAAAGTGCAGGTTGAGCAGCCTCGAGTGAGAACAAGGCTGAAAGTGGATGTGGAAAGGGACAATACCCAGTAGGACAAGGGTATTGGAAGGGGAAAGAAATGGGCTTGAGAGCACAGCCTTGCATGAAGTAAGAATGAAGAGGCCAAAATGGGTGATAAGGCTGAGAACATGGGCGGAGCCATGGGGTGACTGGCCGGCTGGCAGGTATAGCCCACTTCCTGCTGATGCCTTTCTCAGAAGGGCTCCGTGTCT